TTATTTTATAAAGCTATAATAATGAATTTTGAGATCATCTCTGTGATATTTATCTTTAATATACTTACTATTTTTTAACAAAAAAAAATTTAAATTTTAACTCTGATATATATGTACTATTTAAATTATACATTAAAAAAATTTAAAGTTAATTCTCAATATGATAAAAATTTACTGAGAAATATGTACTGAACGAAAAAATAATTATTCTTATAAAATAATGTAATAAGATTATTAAGAAGGATAATGACACGATGAAAGGAAGGAAATGATGGAATGCTCACTCTCTCACTTTTGACCTAAAGAATGAGACTTGCCAAAGGAAATGGAAGAATGGGAAGAATTACCTCCATTCCATTTAAAACATTAAATTTTTCTTACCTACTATTATATTTTTTTAAAAAAGAAATATATAAAAATCATTATATAAAATTATGAGAATGATTTTCTTTTTTGTATTTATTTTATTAAATTTTACCAATCATACGGTTTGTTTGAATAAAATAGTGTTAACTATTATATAAAATAGGAATATAAAAAAGTATTTGTATTATTTATAATAATAAAATAGTTCATCCGTTTCATCTTGTTTTAAATAAAAATAAAATTGAGAAAACATAATCTTAATAATTTAGTAGTATAAAGATTTACAGTAAACAAAATTTATTTGTTTGCATTTGCTTCATTTTAATAAATTTATGAAAATCTTTCAATAAAATTAAAATATGAAAAAATAAAACTTTAATTTAATTTGATTTGATTATATTATATCGTAGTTAGTAACAAAAACAGCTACCCTTTCTTTTATTTTCGAACTTAAAGAAAATTTTTATTTTTATATTTAATCAATTTTTAAGTTGAAATTATATCCATATACATATATATATTACTGAGTTTAAAAACTAGTAATATATATTTTTATAACATCAGTTAAAAAAACCTCTAATGATGTTAATAGGACAAAAATTTAACTTATTTATTTTTTATAAAAAAAAACTATTATTTTTAATAATATTATTATTTAAAATATTAAAATGATCAAACAAAAATAACTTAAAACATTATTAAAACAGACTCCATAAAATAAATAAATCCCAATTTGATCAATTGGGATATGAATAAAGTTTGCGTGACAATAATATCTTATACATTTTATTATATTAAATATAAGTTTGAATTTAATTTATAAATTAAAATTCTAACAGTGATATAATAAATAATATCTATGTATTTTATTGGTTTAAAATGAAATTTCATAGATTAAAATAAAATATAAAAATAAAAAGAAATTCATCCTCTGATTTTTCTCATTTTCTTAATTGAAATAAATTCTTTTTGTCAAATTTTGAATCTTATTTTTTATATAAAATTCAAAAAGAAAAAAGGTAATTAAAAATGAAAAATTGACAAGTTTTCTTTTCTTCTCTTGATAATAAATTACCTATTTCTGTTAATAATTGATTTCTTTTTAAGTAAATCACCACAATTCTCTCTGCTCCCCTTCCAAATCATTCAAACACTGCAGTGATAACGCCTGATTCATAGACGGGCATTTTTCCCACAAAAACTTCATTAACTGGATTTGAATTACGTAAAGCGGGAGGCAATTTGCAACAAACTCGGAGCAGAAGACGTCAGATCTTCCCCGCTAGGGACGACTTGAAAAAGACTGCCAGAGAAAAGAAAGAAATAAAAACTTCCGTCATCATCTTTCTATCTTCCACCTCCCTCAAGAGTTTTCTCTCTCTACATGAATGTATTTACAGTGATACGGATTAGACAGCGAAATCATAGATAGCCTTGGGGTTTTCACTAGTCTTTTCAATCTAAGTATTTCCTCTCCCTCATCAGTATCGATATACGTATAACAGCCTTTGTGACGTTCAGAGTATTGAAACAAGTAAGAAAATGAGGATACAGGAGAGTGACGGAGTATCAGCGTCAAGGAAGCACCTGGTCTTTGCTTACTATGTTACTGGCCATGGTTTTGGCCACGCTACTCGTGTCGTTGAGGTTTTCTTCTTTCCACTTCTTTCTCACTTTCTTTTTTTTGGTTTCTTCTTTTTTCTTCTTGCTAGGAATTACGTTTCGAGATTTGTAAGGTCATTACTATTATGTTTGATTTGTTTTATGATGATTATATTCGTCTCCTGGTGAATATGCTTTTTTTTTTCTCTTCTTTTTCTCGTTTCCCGTTGATTCTAAATGCGGTTAGTTTCAATTATTCGTTTGATTTTAGCCTGGTTTGGTCATGATGATGATGATGATTTGATGGGAATTTATATGATTGATTAATTCATGTTCATGATTTAATTGGGTAATTAGGTCGTTCGGCACCTGATTGCGGCGGGGCATGACGTTCATGTGGTCACGGGTGCACCTGACTTTGTCTTCACTTCCGAAATCGATTCTCCTCGACTTTTCATTCGCAAAGTAACTTCGGAATACAATCTTGATCGCCCCTTGTTTGTTCTCTGTTATTAGTAGTAGTAACGATACTGTAATACGATGAAGTACCATTTATAAATAGTAGCCATTAACTACATTTCTATTTTTAGTCTTGGACCAAGTGAAACAGTAGTATACGAACTACAATATGATTATGCCCAAGAAACAATCAAGATGAAAGGTTCTGTGTAATAAAATTATCCTCTCCCGGATTATCAGGTTCTTCTAGACTGCGGAGCTGTTCAGGCAGATGCATTGACTGTTGATCGCCTTGCTTCTCTGGAGAAGGTACGTCTAATGCGATCATCTTCACTTGATATTTCTTATGACTGTTGACAAGCAAGTGCCTCCATTACCATCATTTGTTACGGTTTATTCTTGTTGGGAAAATCATTGTCTGTTCTTTTTTGTTCAATGTAAGTGCTCTTCTGAGTCGTTGGCTTTTCCCGTTCTTGTTAGTTGTTTATTTATTGCACCTCTCATATTTTTCCTTTCTATGTTGGACATGTTAGTATGTAGAGACAGCTGTGGTGCCTCGAACTTCTATTTTGGAAGCAGAAATAAACTGGCTGAACTCCATCAAAGCTGACTTAGTGGTAGTTATATGCTTCTTGCTTCCTTAATCCTCAGTTGAAACCTATTTGGCAGTATTTTGGGGTTTGTCTAGGAATGGATTTTCAAGTTTCTCATTTTTAGCACAAAATCTCAGTGGAATAGAGATTCTTAAATTAGAAGTGGATTTATGTTTAAGTTTTCTACCATTAAAGGAAGTCTTTTTTGTGAATAAAAATAGGTTTCTGATGTCGTCTCAGTGGCTTGCCGTGCAGCAGCTGATGCTGGCATTCGCTCAGTTTGTGTCACCAATTTCAGGTACTGTGTTCTTACTTGCCCTCCATCCACTTGATCTTCTTGCAAGTCCTGCTGTTTGCTTTAGACTGTTTCTCTGTTTTTTGTTGGGTTAAGTTTGAAAGTACCTGATACCGACTTCCATGATTACTAGTTGTTTCTTATTTAAACTTATGATTCACATGTTAATCTGTCTCATTATCACTTGACAATGGTTATAGCAACTGGATAGCTAAGCTTGCTAATCAAAGTCTTGATATTCTTCTCACCTTCACAAGAAAAATTGGACCATTTTTCTTGTATGTACATATAATTGTAGTTGGGACTTCATCTATGCTGAATACGTAATGGCTGCTGGGAATCATCATCGGTCCATAGTTTGGCAGGTGAACTAAAGTTTCCCCTGAAATTGTTTTTTTATAGTTTCAAGGGGTTATTAATGGTTTTACATCTCAGCAAGGACACTTTGCAATTTACACATTAATTTTATTTCTAATTACGAAGTCCTTATTGCATAGTTTCTTTTCGTCCTTGCACCTTCGTTTCTATCTGGTTCAAGGTTTTACTTTGTGTTTGTTAATGGCCTCATGGCAAGCAGTCTAAAGTTAACGCTTTTTTTTGTTATTTTTAAAATTTTGAGACAGATAGCAGAAGATTATTCTCATTGTGAGTTCCTCATCCGTCTCCCAGGTTATTGCCCAAGTATGTTCTTTATTGCACAACCCCTTGACTCCATTATAGCTTCCCACTTTGTTTTCATTCTCTTTTCACTGAGGAATCTTTACCATGAAGCATGAAATTTTCTTTATTTTTGTAGTGCCTGCTTTCCGTGATGTTATTGATATACCACTTGTTGTGAGGAGGTTACACAAGTCCCGCAATGAGGTTTTTCTACAGTGCTTTATTGATGCCCTCGTATGATTCAACTCATTGTCTAGATATCAAATGAAATTGTTCAATTTCCTTTTTTGGCTTTAGGTTAGGAAGGAGCTTTCAATTGGGGATGATGTGAAGCTGGTTATTCTTAACTTTGGTGGACAGGTTTAAGTCCTAATTAAATAATTTTCTTTAATTGTTGTTTACTTAGAGGAAAGATTGGTTTTGTTTCTATGTACCATTTCAGATCCAAAATCAAGATTTTGACTTGGAATGCAACTAACAAACTAGACTCTGAACTAAAAACTTATTTATATAAATATAAATAAGCAGTGTAGACAAAGTGTTTGCAAACTAGGTCACAAAATACAATAGTGTACATACATCCATTCCATAACAAAAGCGGTATACATATGGACAAAGTTTATGATACAATGGTCATCCAGAACAAGAACTAGGATACTTAACATCTTAAACTCTTCTTAACAAGGCAACCCAGTCAACACCACAAGTTCTGCCTCCAAAACTTTCCCTTGAATTGTAACATTTACTGGAGGAATATAAACCAGTGAATTAATTTCTCTCTCTCTCTCTCTCTCTCATTCTCTTTTCTCCCTCCTTGCTTTTACGATAAATAAGTTGTCTTGATGCTGTATGTTTAACAACTTCTGATGGTTCTGGTATTTCATGAAAAGCCCATTGAATAATCTAATATTCTTTATAATGGACCTGATTTTCTGGTACATACACGATATTTCTTCCTTTTATAATTATTTACTTATTTTCAAAAAAGAAATGCATTAATGACTTTGTTACATAAACTTTAGCTAACTTTGTTTTCTGATTCTCATTTTACCTCTGTACTCTTTTTTTTGTAATTAGCCTTCGGGCTGGAAGCTGAAGGAAGAGTGCTTACCACTTGGTTGGCTGTGCCTGGTACCTTTTCCAGCATGTTCTTTTTATGTTTATTCTGTACTGTTAATGTTGTGAATAGTGTGCCTATATTGCATTTTATTCAATGATTCAGGTTTGTGGGGCTTCTGATACTCAGGAGCTGCCACCTAATTTCATTAAGCTTGCAAAGGATGCTTACACACCTGATCTTATAGCTGCATCTGACTGTATGCTGGGTCAGTGAAAATCTTGTTGGTGGCTGAATAAAATTATATATATTGGAATAACATTAAATAGAATCTTCATGATTTCAGGAAAAATTGGTTACGGCACTGTCAGTGAAGCCCTGGCTTATAAGACGCCGTTTGTCTTTGTCCGCAGAGACTATTTCAATGAAGAACCATTCCTTAGAAATATGCTTGAGGTACAACTAGTTTAATGTTTCCTGTCTAACCTTGTTCTATGTGCCTATATCACATGATTATCAAGCACTGGGACTTTAATTTCTTTTGTAGTATTATCAATGTGGTGTTGAGATGATCAGGAGAGACTTGTTAATGGGTCACTGGAAACCTTACCTTGAACGTGCAGTTAGTTTGAGACCGTGCTATGAAGGTGGCATCAATGGTGGTGAGGTAGGCTTTCCTTTCCTGCAGTTTTATGCTTTTCAAATTGTATTCTCATGATTCTATTGCACTTTTATGTACCACAGGGTCGTGTTGCATGTAACATCAGTTCTCTTTTAGAAATTTGTAAATTATCATAGGCAGCAATGGAATCACATTGACTATTTGAGTTCTCACATATAAACGATTATTGGAGTAAATTATTTTACGGTTTTGATACTGAACTTCGCTGATTCTCTGCAAAACATGTTAATTATTGCTTCACAGAAGCTTTTTAGAAAAAATAAAAAAAAAATTCCTAGAAAAAAAGTGAAGTCAAGTCTGAAAGCTCCTGGATATAAAGGAAGAAATTATTGTTGAATTTGCATCCACTTTAAAGCTGTTCTCATGTTTACATCCACTTTCAAGCTGTTCTCATGATTAGAAGCCTTGATGAGTGTATATTTAAGAACAAATTACATCTCTGTAACATTGACAGTACACATTTTACGACCAAGCATTATGGCAATATTGTTCTAATCTTATGTTTCGTTTCTTCACTATTGTATTTCTTTTCTTTTTGTTTTTGGTTGGGGGAGTGGAGGATTTAGTAAGTAAAGTTTTAGTCTTTTATTGATGCATGTTATTTGTTTTTAATGTATTACTTAGTTTTTTGTATTTGAAGTGTGTCAAACACTAGCAATTGTATTGTTTTGACATGAATTTACTTGTTCCTGATATGATGGTATGATTATAGGTGGCAGGTCACATCTTGCAGGAGACCGCTATTGGAAGGAATTGTGCATCAGATAAGGTACATGACCCTATCGTCTAGTACCCATTATATCATCTAGATTTGGTGGCCATAAAAAAATGCTTGGCGCAGATCAAAACATAACAGACAGCAAAGATTTTTCTTTCGTTTTGATGAGACTAATCTGTTCCAAAGAATCACAAAGTCAAACTTTTAATATATCAGAATTTATATATTTCTCATAATTCCTAAATTATCTTCTTGCCTTTGTATAAAAGATATAACTCCATATTATTATCTAACCACAAGTTTCAACATATTTGATAACTTAACATGTTCCTTTGAGTTAAAATTCTGTTGTTTAAATAACTCTGTTATGTACTAGTTAGATTTGTTATTATTTTGAGTAATTAATTGATATGCATAGTTCAGTATTCTGTCAAAAATTGATTATAATCCAATTGAAAAGATGAGGGAGGACTGGAAGAAGAAGACCGATGATGAAGCAGCTATGCTCTGAATACTAGAATGATGACGGAAAATTGCCTGAAACAACACTGTCAATAGAGATGAGGAAGAAAATGTTTGATGGACAAGGAGGCTTCAACAGAGATGGGAGAGGGGGAGAGATTCGGGATTTAGGGATTTAGTTTTTATGACTGGTTCAGTTTTTTTATTTTTGAACCATGCAGGCCAGTCTAGATTTAAAAAATTTTCCTAGTCAAATGCGCGTTATATGCTGCGTGGTATGTGACATAGAAAAGTAACTAACCAAATGATACCACTAACGTGACATCTAATGTAGAAAAGTAATCCACCAAATGATGTCATGTGTCAAGTTCGTTGATACATGGTGTAGGTGTTAATGGAGTTTAACAGAAACTGATAGAAATGGATTAATTTGAACATTTTTTTGAAAATATAAGGTATTATTTAATATAAAATTAGGACAAGAACTAACTCAAACAAAAGAAAAAATATAGGGGCCAAAAATGTATTTAAGCATTTTAATAAGTATACACTATGTTTTCTATTGTTCTTTGGGTAGCAGAAACACATTTTTTAAAATCAGTCCAATGTTTACCGATTGCATCACTTTATCTGTTTTTTTCTATATTATTCACTACCAATCTACAGATGCCGATGAAAAACAATTTAAAAACTTATTGCTAGAAAAAATTTATTGTTCACCACCAATATGTAGATGCCCATTGCAAATCAATTTCAAAAGTTGTTGCCAGAAAAATATATTTTTCACTACCAATATGTAGATGCCTATGAAAAACAATTTCAAAACTTATTGCTAGAGAAAACATAGAACAAGTATATATTGGCTACTAAATTTTGTGACTGACTTCAATCTTATGTATTGCAGTTTAGTGGAGCAAGAAGATTACGGGATGCCATAGTTCTTGGATATCAACTACAAAGGGCTCCTGGAAGAGATCTTAGCATTCCTGAATGGTATGCAAATGCTGAAAATGAGCTTGGTCTATGTACCGGATCACCAACTGATCAAACAAGTGAAAGCAACTCATTGATGAGTTCGTACGTTCTATTTTCTTATGTATTCATAACTATGATGATAAAATATTTATCTTTTCCTTTTTATAACATCATTTTGTTTCTTTTTTGTAGATGCACTGAGGACTTTGAGATTCTTCATGGAGATCTTCAAGGTCTTTCTGACACAATGAGTTTTCTAAAGAGCTTGGCAGAATTGGATAGTATATATGATTCTGGAAAGAATACCGAGAAGCGTCACATGCGTGAGCGCAAGGCTGCTGCCGGCCTCTTTAATTGGGAGGTAATTTCATCTACACTGAATTGGTCGATTCTCTTTCCAGCCCTATGACCCATTTTTTGCAAATGTGAATGAAAGGGCTTTTACACTTTCTGCAGGAAGAAATTTTTGTGGCTAGAGCGCCTGGAAGATTGGATGTAATGGGAGGCATTGCTGATTATTCAGGAAGCCTTGTTTTGCAGGTTTGAATTAACTTTTGCTTGTTCTGACAATTTGTCTTCATAGGCTTCTAGTGTCTTAATTGCTAATCATTATTCTTTTTCCTCCTAAACAAAGTAAAATTGTGTGGTGTCCAAAGTTAACAGGAATATGCAGTATCCTAACATCTATTGGTGCAGTGATCCCTTTCAAATGTTGTAGGAAGAAAGAGTCGTAGCCACTGATTTTTAAGTGGTTTTAAGCTTCTCCTTTCCCATGCTCTAACAACCCCTATCTCTCTCTCTCTCTTTATATATATATATATAGGGAGAGCATGGTATTTCTAGTTATGGTGATACTATATCTCCTTTCTCTCCTATATTTTTTTTTGTTTGGACACACAGATGAAATTCTTGCAATTCTATTAGTTGTCGAGCTTTTTTAATTCTCTTTTCAAGTTACTTTCCATTTTGTCAAAACAGTCAGCCAATATTTTTTCAATTTTAAATCCCAAAATTGTTGCCGTTGTACTTCTGCCATGATAAACTTATTGATTTGAAATACATAAGTGGTCAGTTCAAGTCTAGGAATCCTTGCTAACTTATAAGATTCACGATTTGTTTGTTTCAATGCAGTACCATAAGAGGTCGAACTTCACTTGCTAGTATTTTAATTTAGAATCTAAATCTTTCCTTCATGAGAGTCAGTTGTTAGGCTTTAATACCATTAGGACAAAAAGCTTGAGCTGTCTTTTCAAGGTCCAGGAGTCCTTTTCAATTTATCGTAGATTTTGATCATCTCATTTACGTTCTCTTTATTAACTGATTGTCTCAAAATTATCTTGTTTTATTAGTTTATCATTTTTTTATATAATCTATTTAAGTTTCATCTATTTATTTTCTTTTTATAGACTTTTCTCCTCTTCCTGCAGATGCCTATAAGAGAAGCCTGCCATGTAGCTGTACAAAGGAATCATCCAAGTAAGCATAGGCTTTGGAAACATGCCCAAGCTCGGCAACAGACAAAGGGACAGGGATCAACACCTGTTCTACAAATTGTATGTATCTAACTTGCAAAATGTTCTGAACACTATGGAAAAGATTTTGATTCAGAAAGAAGATGATGTTTCTAGTTTGCATCCAGAGGATTCAAGCAGGGATGTTCAGTTAAATGCAAAATAGACCTGCTTTGTTCATGGCACCGTCCCTTTGTAAAAGTTTTGGTTGAAGTATGGGATGATAAGCATCATGGGACTACCGCATATATCAGAGAGTAGCAGAAAAAGAATCCTGTTGATGCATTTAGTTATTATTTGTCCTCTTGTCAGCATCTTCTGTTATTTATATTCTGGTTGCTTCAGGTATCATATGGGTCAGAATTGAGCAATCGTGGTCCTACGTTCGACATGGATTTATCTGATTTTATGGATGGGGACAAGCCAATATCATATGAGAAGGCGAAGAAATACTTTGCACAGGATCCGTCTCAAAAGTGAGCATCTCTTTCTTGTCTGATTTATTTTTATATACTTTCTGTTGCTAATTTTATGATTTTTCTTTCAGGTGGGCGGCATATGTTGCAGGCACAATTCTAGTTTTGATGACAGAGCTAGGTGTACGCTTTAATGATAGTATTAGCATGTTGGTATGGGTCCTCTTATATTGAGAAAAATGAATATATACATCACTTTCTCTTATTCATCTAACCATCCTATTGTTTTTAAGTTATAAATATGTTGTCTGTGAGCTCACAACAGCAAGTTGACCTGGAATGTGCATGAAATGTTGTATATGTAGAAAATTTGTATTGCAATGATAGAAGAGAAAATGAATATACTAATTGTAGGGCATAGTTGTGGTATAGTGAGAAGGAATAGGACCTCAAATTCATTCAGCTCCATGCTGTACTTTGTTTGTAAAAAAATTTTTACTCCTTTCAATCTTCATCAGTTTTTGTATTTTCTTGTATTGGTTACTCTACCTCTTTGTGAAATTCATATTTGTGTCACAATGTGACAAGGTTATCTAAAACCCGACAGTTCTTGATTGATACCTCTCCATTTAATTGGAATCAGGTGACTGCTAGTGTTAAAGGTATTAAGTGTTTATGTTGTGGATCTTCAGGTTTCTTCTGCCGTCCCAGAAGGCAAAGGTGTATCTTCTTCTGCATCTGTGGAGGTTGCAAGCATGTTTGCTGCAGTTGCTGCTCATGGTAAGTCATCCCTCTGACTGTTAAAAATCAACCGGGAACTGATGCATTGAGGTAGAACTCAATTTTATCATCAGTTTGGTATGTATATAATAACCAAGTGATTATCACATGGAATGGTTAGAATTTCTGGAGTCTTGTGGGTTGAAAGCAAAAACTTCATGAATGGATGTGAGCACCTAATATCTTTATCAATGTGGAAAATTTACAGTGTGAATGGGGCAACAAAGACATACGATGAACTTATTGTTTGTCATTAAGGGCTACTATGAACTTTATTTTACCATGGAGGTTATTTAATTCTTCTGTGAAGTAATGACTATTCTATTCCAGATAACTAGTTGATTCCTTTCTTCATCTATCTTATGCAGGTTTAAGTATTGATCCAAGAGAGATTGCTTTGCTGTGCCAAAAGGTTGCATATAATCTCAGCCTTCTGATCACCATCAGTTTCCTAGATCCTACTAGACAAACAAGCGGCATAACTGATTTTTCTAGTTGTTTACTAGGTGGAGAATCACATTGTTGGAGCTCCATGTGGTGTGATGGACCAGATGACTTCAGCTTGTGGAGAAGCAAACAAACTTCTTGCAATGATTTGCCAGGCAAGTATTACATCAGGATTTCTAATAGCATCTACATCTGATTTAGAATGTAACTTTTCTTCATAAGAAATAATGGTAACTTTTGCCTTTTGTTTATGTAGCCGGCTGAGGTTGTTGGGCTTGTAGAAATTCCTAACCATATCCGCTTTTGGGGAATTGATTCTGGAATAAGGCACAGGTATCAGGTCTATTCATGCACATTTCCTGCTTTCATTCTGATATCTCTTAGCCTGTTGCAAATATGTTAATGCTGTAGTATTATCATTTTTTATGGATGACTATAGTATGCTTAAACATGTGCAGATCAATGAGAGAACAGTATGCAAAATTTGATTATGATCTGTCTTTTTCTTTCACTTAATTTGTATCTGTATTTTGTCTTCTGAGTTCGCCTTTAAAGATTTCTTCTTGTATCATCTCACTCTTTGTTTGTAACTTATAAGAGGTTGTAACATCCTTTATAAGAGTATCCTACTTTTGTTTTATGACAGACCCTTTTGTTGTTTTCCTAAAGCAAAGATTATTTATCTTCTGTTCTTTTTATGGCACTTTTTCGGGTAGTGTTGGAGGTGCAGACTATGGATCTGTCAGAATAGGAGCCTTCATGGGCCGAAAGATGATAAAGTCTACAGCATCTCTGATTTTGTCTTCATCATTATCTAGTGCTAATGGAATAATTCCTGATGAATTGGAGGATAATAGTGTTGAACTCCTCGAAGCTGAAGCTTCCTTAGATTGCTTGTGCAACTTGTCACCTCACAGGTAGATGCCTTATCTAGGTCTTGGATATTTTTTCTTCTTGGGAAGTGGCAATGAAGGAGGGAATGTGTAGATTTTTTAAATTAAAACTCTGATGTTCTGGTTATTTGTCTCTTGTCTTATTTTGTTAACCTCGTGACATGCACATTCTTGAAACCAATTGAATTTGTTTTCATGTTTTGAAATTATGGAAATTCTTGTGAGGTTGAACCATAGCAATTAATTAGTGCTTTCGTGCATTGAATATTCATATTCATATTCTTTTTCTTCCATTTGTTACAAAACAGGTATGAAGCTGTTTATGCCAAGATGCTTCCTGACTCCATGCTTGGAGAGGCATTTTTGGAGAAATATGTTGATCATAATGATCCAGTCACAGTTATTGATAGCAAGCGTTCATATGGAGTGAGAGCATCTGCTAGACATCCTATATATGAAAATTTCCGGGTCAAGGTCTGTAATTAATTTAATTTTGACGGCTTATCTGATAGTCAGGAAAAAGATATGCATTTTTCACATATAAGAGATTGTTGCCAGATCTTGAAGGAAAAAAAATAAAGCACAGAAGACTCAAGATCCTTGCCCTCCATGCTGTTCAACCTTTTCACCTCTTTTATGGTAGTCATGCATTTTTTTCTTTATTGCCTGTGCATTACACTTGTGTACTTGGGTTGCATGCCGGCATTAATTGTCCAAGTAGAAAAGAGTGGTTTTCTTCTGGTTGGTTGTGCCTGATAAATGCCCTATGAGGTTGCTTATTATACCTGAACTCTTTAAATGATGTCTTTGCTGTACCTTTTCCAGGCATTCCTTTCACTCGGATGTACTTTAATCTTTTCTTTTTCCTTTTTAATCAGCTAACTAAGGTTATTACTTATTTATAGGCCTTTAAAGCACTGCTAACATCTGCTAGTTCAGAAGAGCAGCTTACAGCCCTTGGAGAGCTACTTTATCAGGTAGGCTTACAGATTTCTTTTCTTCTTTTTCCTGAGGACCGGTTTTTTTTATCATTGAATCAGTCTCTAATTGTTTATTGTTCCTTTGTTTCTTATCATGCATATTATGCACATATCTTACTGATACTTTGCAAAATGGTGTTTCACAGTAGAACACGTATAAAATAGATTTATCAAGATCTAGGTAACAGGATACATATCCCATGGTAGATACATTGATGGTTGTAATGTGCTACAAATGGAAGACTTGTTACCCACTAATAATTTTTCAAGATAATTTATTCATAAATCGTACTAAAAGAGGGTATCATTTTGTGAGCACATGAATGAAATTTAAGGTAAGATATTGCTCTTGACCGAGATCATGGTTTGCAGTGTCATTACAGCTATAGCGCTTGTGGGCTTGGCTCAGACGGGACGGATCGGCTTGTACGGTTGGTACAGGAAATGCAGCACACCAGATCATCTAGATCTGAGGATGGGACATTTTATGGAGCTAAAATAACAGGTGGTGGGTCTGGTGGAACAGTCTGTGTGATTGGCAGAAACTGTCTAAGGAGCAGCCAACAAATTCTTGAGGTAATGTTTAACCTTTATCTGCCAAAACAATTATGTCATCGGAGCATTTATAACTTCTTGGCTAAAATGTCTAAAAGAATAATACGAATTTTAGAACCTCTATAGTAGGCTGCCTTGAGAAATAAAATCTGCCCTTCGGATATTAATGCATATAATAACAGGCCTTACTGACTGGGTAACACTTTCTCCCCATATGGTTATTAGCCAAAGAATGGCTTCATCATCTTCTCTTCATGGTTATTTGGAGCTGATAACTTGAATACCTTATTTGACATTGCATAAATGGAAGAATCTTAATACTTCAAGTTTTCAACACCTTTTCTTAACTATTTGCCAAAATGAATATCCAGATTCAGCAGAGATACAAAGGTGCAACGGGCTATTTGCCACTTATTTTTGAGGGTTCATCACCGGGTGCTGGAAAATTTGGGCATTTGAGAATTTGCCGTCGGATGTCTCTTAACCAAGTTAAGTAATGTGTTCTCATATTTGAAGCTTCCACAGACTCACGTCTGCTGGAGAATGTTAGGGATAAAAATTTGAGTGCTAAATTATGTACGGACAATTCAAGTTCAATAAAACGTTTTGAAAGAATAGAATTATGCATTTGCTTATTTCAATGACAAAACAGACCTGTAAACCACTAAAAATTGATGATGGCACCCAATTTCAACATCCTCAGGAGCGAGCTGTTCCTTTAAAAAAAGATAGTTTAGGCTGTTTGGTTTTAGTAATTCTAAGTTGTTATGTAATCTGATTTGCTAGAAATATAAAAGTTGCATTTGTGTTTATTTTGGTAGGTGTTTTGGTACTGCTGTAACTTGTAGAGGAGTTTTAAAAGTGCGGTTAGACATAATTGTTCAATTAAAGTGATTTTAGTCAAAATTTGATTAGTGTTTTGTATAAATAATTTTATAAAGTACTATCACCTTAAAATAGTAAAAATTTTGTGTTTGATGAGAATGAAATTTGACATTTGAAGTGTAAATTTAATAAAAACTTAACTTATCTTTTTAAAAGTAGATTTTGATTCTGTTTTTGCCAAAAATACTTTGAATTTTTTGTTTTAAAAATTCTTCTAAAAAATGATTATTTCATCAAAACATTTAACAACGAATTTGAGAACAAAACATATTCGTTTCATATAAATTAAAATTTTATATTATTTGAAACATCCATTTAATCAGTTTATTAATTTTTTAACTTACACGTATTATTTTTTCCAAAAATTCAGCTATTTACTTCAAGATTATTGACTACAAATACATTTAAGATAAACACATTTTCACTTATTTTAAAGAGCTTATAAGTCTTACATGCGCTTACAAATATATAAAGGTAGAAAACAACCAAATGGCACTGATGTGCGCAAGCTAATTTCCGTATTTCAGAAATAAAATGGAAGAAAGCATCAAGACTTTTGATGATCTCCAGCATCTTGCTGATAAAAGATTTCATATGTGGACACTCTCGGCTTTGCTTCAGGCAGCTCCAGTTCTTCCATAAAACCGCTTGTCATCTTCACAAAATCTTCCATGTGAGCTCCTCTCCATTCCTTCAAAGTAGGAAAACAACGAGGAGTGTCAAATAAGGGTGATGGGTTATTTATTCAATGTCTGGAATGGAATGGAACAATCATGTTGCTAAAATTTTCCATGGGTATTATTCTCCATTCCTTCAAAATCCATCCCCCCCCCCCCCCCCCCCATAAGGAGTGCTAGATAAGCAAAGATCAGCAACCCAAATGCCTACCATTGAAAGGTTATCGGGTAGAAAAGATCAAGTATCACTCAATTTTTTGGCTGCTCACGGCCTGCTGATGCAATGGTTCCAGATGAAAGAATAGTTCAGTAATTGAAATGAAAAGAATACTAATGAAGAGGCTTTAAAGCTTCAAGATAGCATTATGAAAAGTCCTCCAAAAAGAGATTTTGCAGAGAAAGATTTAAAGACATACTATACTAGTGTCTGAAATGAAAGAAAAAAAAAAAAAAAGAAGGCAAGCCACTACCTAGAAATTGGAATTAGGAGAAAAGAAATTAATCTCTATCTCTCTTCCTTCTCCCATTCAGTGCAAAGTGCAAACAGAACAAAATTTTAGTTTCACGGACGCGCACTCTACCTGGTAGAGCTCATAAGGCAGGATAAGCCCTTCTGAAGCCACAACAGAACAACTTATTGTTTACTAACAAGAAACAACCCCCTCCCACACCCCCAAAATCCCGTCCCTTCCTCCTATTGACTTCCAACGAAGCTGTTAAAGTTTGTTCTATGTTATGAACTTCAAGCTGCTCATTACAGGGAAATGATAAATTTACCTCAAAATCCCACTCTCCATATAATTTTGGATCATTCGTGTTACTCCATACATAGGTGTGAGCTAGTAATTTCTCAGAAGTATCCTGCAGACACAATGACAAATTCTTTTGTTTTGTCAAAAAACATTATATGGACCAAAAACCCTCATATGTTTCAGTACAAATTGCTAAACCATCCCCATGAAATTGAAGCCTACACCCAATTCACAAAGTGATGTTAAATTAACTCACTGTTAAAGAAACTTCAATTGTTTTTCTTTCATATTCTACATCTTCAAATGTATCCAAAATATATAACTCAGGATCTGTAATTCCCAACAGGACCTGCGAGAAAAGAAAACTAGCACAATTATATGATCATGGTCTCTAATTTCGCTGTATAAAGGGAATGCAGCATATGCCAGCATAGGCATGATCAATGACTCTCTCTAGGAAATCATTCAAAGAACAAATTTGTGCATTTCCAGATGTAGGGACGCACATGCTTTCCAATGGCAGAACTCCATATGGATTAATACATAATCTCATCTTTATATCAATGCCAATTTATGGTCTAAATTATCGGTACTTAAGGTTGGCACCATGGTTTTCTTGATATGCTCCACTTTGCTGCTACAAATAGTTGGTGAATTACAACATCAGTAGGGAAAATAAATGAGAATAACAGGATAGAGACCTTGCCAGTAACTTTCTTGCTTTCGACGGGAAGAATAGCGGGATAAACACGTCCTTTGATGCTAAACCTGTGACTGCAACTCCGCTCTCAATTAGCAAGCGCGATCAATCGAATTATTATTTTTTTTTACAAAAAAACAATTAACCAACTGAGAAACGAACACAACAAGCAGAAGCTTGGATAAATTTCAGTTGAAAGACAAGGCAAAATAAAATTCCATAGAATTTGGAAAATGGAGAAAGAAATGAAGAACCACGATGGATTCCCGAGAGTGATAACGGGTATTAAGAAATCTCATACAAAAAAAAATAAAAGAAATCGGATTTAGAGAGTTTACAATAACTGGCGATCAAGACTAAATTGATAAACGAATGAAAATTGAATACTAGAAATTACAGAGAGAGAGAAAGAGAGAGAGAGAGAGAGAGAGAGAGAGAGAGAGAGAGAGAGAGAGAGAGAGACGAACTAGCCGTTAAGGATGGCGGAGGAAGATTGAGGGACTCGCTTCAAGAGAACTCGTACGACGTCGTCAGCTAAGAGGCTGCCATAGACGAATACATTGTGTAATGCACTTGTCCCCATCGTCGTCGATGGGAGTTGGAGTTTCAGATTGCCGAACGCGAAAACTATAAGTAGAGCGTGTTGCCTGCCCCTTTCAAACCCAATTGTACCTCCTGAAATTTTTAAATCAAAATTTTATTTTATTTACTGGGTTTAATTTTTCTTACACAGACTAATTATTATTTTAAATAGTTTGACATTTAATTAGAAAGCTCGTTTATGTATGTTTGGCCATAACAATTTTGTTGCTCAAGCTATCTTATTTTATATATATATATATATATATATGTATGTATAGCTGTAACTTGTTTTCTGCTCAAGTTTATCATGTTTATTACTTGTAAAAGAAATTAATGACTTGGTCATAACAATGACTTTTCGTTTTTTATTCATCGATTAAAAATAAAGGGTTGACTGACTCGCAGATATAAATTTTACTAAACAATACCTTAAAGGAAAAATTAAGCAAGAACATGTACATTTGAAAGACTGTTGGAATCCATCTTCAAGGAAAATACATTAGAGATAAAGAACATAATTTTATTGGGTTAATATGATAAATTCATCTATTTTGTATATTCAATTATATAGTTACTTAATTATAAATATATATACCTGATTTTTAAATTATAAAACTAACTCTAATTAATAGTCTAATTTAAAGAAATATATAATTAATTAATCAAACACATCCCATATATATATATATATTTTAATTATGTCAACTGAAAATTGCAAATTTGGAGCAAAAAAATGCCTAATTTGATGAATGCTCAATAAATTTAATATCAACTGCCAAAGCAATCAATTTAAGTTAATTTAAACCAAGTTTTAAAATACTTGAGCTACTTAAATATATAAATAAGGCCAGTAGAAAAAGCTAAGGCTCAAATTTAATTGAATCCCCTGCGGAGAGAATCAACACATACTTCCCAAACATATCATAAACAAACATGAGATTTGGAGGAGCATGCACAAAAGATTAATCATGATTTACTAAGTGCAGCTCGATACTATTCAAGGGGTGCAGCCCTCCTGATCATATGTTCATTGGTTCTGGACTGGATGCGTTCAGTATATCCAATAATGAGTTTTGAGGTTCCAACTCCTCGTGCCAAAGTGGTAGTGTGTCACCAGGGTAGAAGTTTCTTGTCACCCCCTCTGAGTTAATCTGCAAAAAAAGCATATCAAACATAAATCCTGGCCTTTTTACCTGCTGCAATTTCACCTTAATAAAATATTCACACATGGAAGTCTATATGGGATACAGATCTTTAAGAAATCTTACAATGACAGTGCGAACAACACCCCCACTAGCACCATCCCGTGCAATGGCAAGAGAAACTGCTTTAACCACTAGTTGCTGCAACATATAATTAAAACAAATGCTATTAGAAATCAATACGACATCCAAGATAGTCTTGCTAGTTGTTTGGCTGATGCCTTGGCTATCAAAACCCAACAGCAAGCAATAATATTTCACTCTCATGTTCCTTGTAAATTACCAGAAGAGAACTTTCACACATCACCATGATCAAGTCCCAACTCATACTTACAAGCAAACATCTAACATTTTGTACTTCAGCACTTAAGTGAATATTTATAACAAGGTAACCAACATACCTCAGCTTCCTCCTTGGTCATTCCTTCTTTCCAAGCTTGATCAAAGAAACCATACAGATAACTAGACCCAGAGCCTGTGAAACAGACAATTCAGTGAGTTGGGCCAAGATAATGCAGACAACTGGTTATAATAGCAATTGATTAATCAGTATATGACAGATGATTTTCTCAAGGAAAACCTCCAGTTATCTGAGTCAAAATTTTCTGCCTATTGAATCATTGATAACTAGAATCTAAAACAGGCAAGATATTATTATCAAATGTTGATTTACTCTTGTGCTTGTTTTAAACACATTCAATCCCCAAGTGTTAGTTATGTCTACAAAGAAATTAATCATAATTTACATATTTGATGTATAACTAAATTAACTTTCCTTATATCCTACTTCTACAATCATAAATTTGTATTTTCACATGTTAAAGGAACTACAAAACCTTATGCAAGTGACTCAGAAATAGCATGCTATACTCATTCAAATTTTCCATCCTATTTATATTGCATTCCCATTCCAATTCATGAAATTGAAATTTAAACAAAATTTAATATTATGGTATTTAATTTGTTTTTTCCCGGAAAATGGTGCATCATAGCTGATCTGGGCTCTGTAGATTAGAAAAGAACTAGCAATTCTCATAGTTCTATGATCAGTTTATTTTTGGCAAAGGCACACAAGTCTCTAAATTTTGGGCATACTGACAACTGGTTTCATTAACTAAAAAAATTACAATTCAGTTCCAGTATTTGATCAAATATTAAATCTCATTCCAATAGACTAACAAATGCCCACATATCCATCGAACACAAATTAGCTCTTTTAACTTTGGAAGGACACAATGACAAGGTTCCTCTAAAAAACACATGAAAATTGCAGTTGGAGAAGGTTGATCAGAGTCTGGAGAAGCTTGATCAAAATATGCAATATACAATATTGAATTCAGAAATTTGGAGAAAAAATTTGATGTGGATTTCCAAAGTTTTAATTATTTGGATCAAAGTTTGGATGTGAGCTAGTTAAGTAAGAACCATGTCTTGCCATCACTTTATTTTCTTTGCAAACCACAAACAATCAGAAACCAGCAACTCAATTAAGATTTTTCCAAAATTTTCAAATCAAATTTGTATTTACCAGATTCTAATCAAGTTTCTCCAAAGTTCAATCAAGCTTGCTCCAGTTGCAGTTCTCCAAATCCTCTTCCAATTTGGCAACTTTTCTTTCTTTTTTAAAATTATATCTGGTTTCTTTCTTAGAGAAGTTGGTCGTGTATCCTTTTGAGAAAACAAAAATTATAAATAGGTACTTTAACGTTGATTTTAACATTGTTTAGTTCATCAAATTGAGTTGTATTGTTAATTCAAAAATACCTGAATTAAATTCTAATTTTTCTTCAAACTAATGAACCCAATTGTACTTAGAACCAAAATCTAAGAACTCCCTTCTTGTAATTCACCTCCTTAAAAAAAGGTACTCCCTGCAATCAAATAGGCATATCAAAGGATGAACTACAAACTGGCTGTGCTAACCATAAACTGGCTGACAACATATACCTCAAAAGTGATTTAATAAAAGACGGCAGCCATAAGCCCCAGTCATAAGCACCAAGAGGATGGAAGACAATAAAGAAAGTGATGCCTATTTGTGATCTATAACCAAACCAGCACTTAAATGTTATCAAGTAGCAGATATAGAACGTTAAATGATCATTAAATCACAACTTCTGGTTATATCTCCCCAGAGCCTATCATGATTGATTGTCATTCTCCACATTGATAAGCAACAAGTAGAGTAGAAACTCAAGGATAGTTTGCTTAAGTTAAGTTATAATTTTTGCAAATACTAAAGGGCATGGAAGGGTATCAGTGGGTCTCATTCCTCTTGCTATGTTTTAGGTTGTGTGGAAAGAAAGAAATAGGAGAACTTTTGAGGGAACGGGAGCGGGTTTAAATAGAATTAAAGATAAATGGTTCCAAACCTTGTGTTTATTGATAATGGGTAATTCTTTGCAAGTTATGGAGGATTTTGGAAACCTACTAGACATCCTAGCTTGAATTGTAAATAATTTTTGTACATGGGTTGGCACCCCTTTAGTGCTAGTATCCCCTTTCTCAGTTCAAGAAGTCTCTCCCTTAGTAAGTGGTTCTGATTCAAAAGATAACAAGATGTATTCATGGCCTCAAACCATAAGTATTTAGGTAGGTCATCTTTGAACAATGATGTAGTTGCAAATATAGTCTAATTAATGTAGGCCTTTTCTTGTCTTCTTTCTTTTATTACTCAATCTTCTTCTTTTTTTCCTTTTTCTCCTTCTTCTTCTTCTTCTTCTTTCAAATAAGAAGAAGAGAAAGAAAAAGCAGAATAAGAAGAAGAAGAAGAAGAAGAAGAAGAAGAAGAAGAAATAATGGAATAAGAAGATGAAATAATGATACACAACACACTTTTACTTTTTAAAAAAAATAACAAGATACTAAGAAAGATTCAAATAAACTTCAGCTAGAAGACATAATTAAAAATGCAAATTAACAGGCAACTGTAGAAAAAAGGGCCCTATGTGCAATTCTTTAGACGAGGAATTCAGTTGACAAGTTTCAAAAGGTAAAGGAAATATACCTCCAATAGCAAAAGGCTGCTCAATTAGTGTTCCACCAAGAGGAACTCCATAAATTTTGCCACCTTCATATTTGTCCCACCCACCAACAATAAGGCCAGTTTGTAGCATATTCTGCCAAGTATAGATGATTATATTCAACCAAGCATAAAGGCATAAGCTACAAAATACAATTAATAAATCATATAGAAAGTTAAGAAACAAAAAGTAAGATCTTAAACAGAATCACTTAAACATAGCATTCCATCAAAAACTGATGGGGGCAACACAACCCATGGTTAGATCTGTGAGGTTCCTACATGAATTCTATTCTGACATAGAGAGTGTTGAACTAGAATGCAGATAAAAAGGTGAGAGGAAATCAGCCGACAAATTTCTTAAAAGATACAGAAAAATAAGATTACCTCTAAAACATTCAACAATAACCAAAAAAAAAAAAGGTAGCAAGACAAATTATTGTTCCACAGAATTCATGAAGATCTGAAACCGAACATTCAACATCAACCAAAAAAAGGTAGCCTGCGTATATCAGTAGTCTTTCTTTTTCAACTTTTTTTTTTTCAGAGAAATCTTTCTTTTTCAAATAAAATCAAAATAAATGTACCAATAATTTTTTCCTCTTTATGTTTTTTCCCATTTTAAAGCAACAAAGCAGACAATACATCAAGATAGGAAACACAAACCTTGTTACCATATGACAGAAGCCGAACAAGGTTTGCAGCAACTTTGACAGTTGCAGGCTGCCCAAGCTGTATGCTGTCCACAAGAATATTTGGTATTAGGAGGATACAAGAACTTGAAAACTAAAAAGGAAGGGGTATGTTTTGCAAAACAATGCAAACAATGAGTTTGCTTTAAATTTCAATTCAATAAAATAAGAATAAGAATATAATACAAATAACTAAAAGTTTGACTAAGAAAAGCATTTAATTCCTTTTTAATTCAATGTCTAATATCAATTCAACAGTAACAATCAGTTGGTTTAAATTTCAATTATATAGTATAGGAATAAGAATATAGTACAGATAATATAAAGTTTGAATAAATATAATATTCCGATTCCAAGTTAATTCCATGTGTAATTAAATTTTTTCTTTAACAAGTGAATACAAAACCATAATTATGGAATTGAAGATATGACTGGAGTTGATTTAGTTATATATTAAATATTTAAATAATGACCCCCCCCCTATGTGTCAAATATTAACATCTACAAATTTAGTGGGAATAATCTGACCCATACACAATGTAGAAGTACAACCATTCGAGAAAAAGAGTAGATAATGATAGTAAATCCATGTTTTCATTGAGTAACCAATAATGCGCAACATTCACTCTATATATGCAGCCAATGCAACAACCTAATGTCAAAACTAAGTCTACATTGAGTAACCAATAATGCGCAACATTCTAAGTATACACGCCGCCCAAACCCCCAAAAAAAGAAAACCACAGACACATGGTAAAGAAGAAAAAGAACCATTTCTTATACAAAGTGTTATTCTGTTTGCTTCAGGTATCCTTAGATTAGAACCACCAGTCAACCAACTCTTCACCATGCCTGCCAAAGTCATTCTTCTCTACCAATCATACTGACAGATTGAATAACTACTCCCAACTGCTATTTCAAAAAGAAAAAGTATCCTAGTTGTATTGAAGAAATCAAGAAAAATCACCCAACCGCAATGGAGGATCTCTCAAAGTCAGCACACTATCCCAGAGACAAAAAATTCAGGACTTTCCTTTGAAAATTTAAGCTTCAATGATAACCAGCATCGCAATGAAGCATCACAAGAGAGTTAGACCACTACATTGTTATCAAACAATAACAAATTTGCGAAAGTTAATAGAGCAGCATCACGAGGAATGGAAGAAGCACTCACGTGTGCTGATGAAGGAAGTAGCGCACATAATCAGAGACAACCTGAGAATCTGCAGCCTGCATAGTGCAGACAAGTATATCTGAGAATTTGACAATATTAGCATTCATCTCTTAAGTTGAAGTATACACTCCGGAACAGGATAAAGCAAAGCATCTTCGTCCCATGTATTACCGTTCCCTCTTCTATTTTTTGTAAAACAAAAGGCACTACTAAGCCAAAACTAAAAGTAAAATAGGAATAATCAAAACGTTAGAGATGGGGAAGAAACGAATAAGCATAGAACCGAAAATCGAAGAAGAAATATGAGAACGAAGAATACCGATCCAGAGCGACAGACGTAGACATTATCAGCAAGCTTTGTGATCTTGTCGGATGCTCGATTAGCAACGTACATCCCTACCAAAACACCCATGAAATTACATTTCCCCATTATCAGATTCACATAAATGAAAACACCTTGCCATCAAACCACTTTACAAACAACATGAATGCCGTTCTCTTCTTCAAATTCAACCACAAAATATACAACCGAATGTTTTTCTTTTGAAAAAAGATATTATTAGGGATTAACCAACGAAGGGTGAAAACAAACAGAAATAAGGCAAAAAAACACGAAAAGAAAGAAAAGAAGAAGAGATACTACCGGTGCTTGTACGAGAATCGGCTCCAAGGACAACGCCACCGCTGTAAGTAACTCCGATGATAGTGGTGCCCATGGAGTGCGGTGCGTTCAAATCCATATTCAGATCCATTTTGTGTAATCAGAAATCAAGCGAAGAAGAAACCCTAATTAGCTCAAGCTCAGTTATTGCTTGTTTCTTTCTCTTCTTTCTCTTCTGAGATGCGGCTAAAGCTGAAGCTTTGATCGCCAAGAGTAAATAAAGAGGAGGAAGGGCGTATTTTGCAGTTGCTCCCGACGACACTGACTTATTGCTCAAGTCTGCTCTCTCAACTTTTGTTTTTTAAGAGTCCCTACTTTTTCTTTTTTTTTTTTTTTCATCTTCTCACCCAAAAAAGATATATAGTTTTCATTTTTTTAAATAACTATTTTCCATTTTTAGCAAAAAAAAAAATATTTTTCATTTTTTTTTTCTTCACAAATAATAATAAGATCAATAATCAAAATATAGCCATATATTATGTTTAAATTGGATAATTAAATATTACTAAATATTTTAATTTAATAAATAATAAAATCTAAATTTTTATTAATTTCTGAAATATAAAAATAATTTTAGAATAATACAAATGTAATAACAAAAATAATAATAATCTTAAAAATTATTCTAATTATATTAACATTTATGATTTGGCAACTTCAAACTAAATAAGTCTTACTGACTTATTTTATTAAAAAATATTTTTCTGAGTTAGTGAAAAATTTTGTGCATGTCAATTTTGCACTTTAAAAAAGATTATACCATGTTTGAAATCAACCAATTGTTTTATTCAATATATGAAATGAAAAATATAAGAGTATTTTAAATAAATTTAAATATTTTAACTAAAAATAATGAAAAATAATAATTAATAATCTTGTTAATAAGAATATTTTTAACATTATAAATAATATTGTTGATGAGTCATAAATATTCTATTTTTCTTTTTAAAAATATCTATTAAATAATCAAAATATTTGAGAATTCTTATAGTTATAATATCAAGTTTTTTTAATTAAAAAAGTCATCCCTTAAAGAAAAGAATTGACCTTCAAAATGCAACATATCAAGTCCTTTGAATACTTAAAAAAAAAAAAAAAATTGTAGCATCGTATGATCTCACAAGTTTTATCCCTATAATATTTTTCATATTAAGTCACACAATTCAAAAGGATTAGTGTCTTCCAAAAAAAATAAAACTTGTTAGAAGCGACTTTCATTCTCTATTTAGAGATAAAATAAATTTATAAGACTTCAACGTCTATCATTGAGCTTTCAAGCCGAAAATGTTAGGAAAATATGTTGTAATGCCTAGTCCAAAAATAATTATTATTTAATTATGGATCTAGAAGAAATTATATTAATAGTTCATAAAATTTATAGAGTTATTTTATAATTTAGTATAGTTATTAGATTCTTTCATAATTATAGAAAGAGTAACCTATATATAAATTCATTATCAATACTTCAAAGATTTTGAAACCTTAATAATAAAAGAAAAGAAAAAGAAGAGGGGGAGACAATAAAAGATGTATGCAATAAGAAAGTAAATCACCAAAATCCTAAATTACAGTCTTATTTCATGATATTTAGACCGACAAGCTAAAAGAATGATATTTAGATATGCAAATGAGAAAATAATTATTGTGGTTGTAGCATTTTGGCCAAATTTTTTTATTTTTGTCAATGTTTCGTTACAAATTAATTTTATTTATAATTTACACAAACTTTTTACAAACATTAAGATTTAAATTAAAATTGAAGAATGTATGAATTTGTGAAGATTTTGTATTATAACAAAATATGAATCACATGTAATAATTTTTTAATGACATTATATTCTCTCTTTTCTCTAAGTCGAAAGTGAGTTCTGTTCTCTCATTTATTACTTTTCAAGAAAAATATGTCCTAATATTTTTAATTATATCAAAAACTTTTTATCCTCTAAACTATTTTTATTTATAAAGATACTTCATAAAGTTTCATAAACACTAAATGTAATACCTGAGCCCGAAATTTGGCCCGGGATTAATTTCAACATCAAAAAATGTATAAAAACCTATTTTTTGAAATTAATAAATTTTAATTTAATGTGAAATTATAGGAAAAAAATAGGTTGAGAATGAAATTGAAAATAATTTTGGAAAAAAAAGGTGAAATTTTGGCTACGGATAGTGTTTTTGAAAGAAAAATCAGAAACTGGAGGTCAAAATGCAATTAAAGAAAATTTTACCACGTAGGACAATCCAATCAGCAGTCCCGACGAACCAGAGCGTGCCACGTGGCAAGGTTCACTGACTCGGTGTCACGTGGGAAGCCACGCTAGCGATCCGCGTACCTTGTGATCGGACAGCCCAGAAGCGTTCCTGCGCGTGTGGACGGTCCGGATCTGTTCCCTCCTCAGATGCGATCGAACGGTTGCATAAAACACAATGAACGATCC